CCCCTGATGTTGGAATCGATCTTTCCATTGATTACTCCCTTTGAAAAAAATCACATCCCTGTCCTCTGTGTTGTATCTGACCTTCCTCGGTTAAGAACATTTGTAGGAATTTATATTTAAAGTGGTAACCATGGTTTTGACTGATTCTCCTACCCTTGGCCTAGTACTTTGTGGCTGCTTTGACTCTGCTTTCCACCTAAGCTTGAGCTGGCACGACTCTAACATTTCTACTTTACCAGCTCCCAAGACGTGTAATGAGAATTTTATTTATCAAATCGTGTTAAAGAGGAATCCGAGGCTTGGATAAGTACAGTCAAATAATCTGCCAACAGGATTGTAATGGGATGCTGAACGAAGTTGTACTTAACAATCTTTCAATATATGTGTCCTTCCTAAGAAAAGATGATATTGCTTCCATTATGAATTGAAAAGAACAGAGCTGCTTCCCTTGCCTCACCGATCTAGACATCTTGTAAGGGATGGAAAGAAAACCATGAATCTGAACCTGACCATGCGCATCGTTATATCAAATTCTGACCCATTTTCTAAATATTGGCCCTACCCAATTTTCTCCATGCATTGCTGTAAAAAGGACCAATTAACTTGGTCATAAGCTTTCTCGAAATCACAAAACAAAATTGTGGCATTGTTTTTTTTGTTATTTGCATATCTGACAAATTCTGTTAATGGCATTACATTATCGAAGATGAAACAGTCCGGAATAAAACCTGTTTGGTCAATATGAAAACAATGTTTAGTAATTCATGTGATTCTATTTGCTAGAAATTTTGCGAACATATTATAAACAACTGGTAGTAAAGTGCCTATAATTTCTAATGTTAGTGGGATCTCCTTCTGCAATCCTGTTTGTATAAAAGAGTACTAAGACTGCTTCACTGGATTCTCTAGCTGCTTGGATTTTTTTCCACCATCTCTCTCCTTGTGCGCTTTCCTGCCTGTTGTGTCTGCCTGTCTCTTGTGGTTTTATCTGGCCCGCCTGCCTGCCCACCTGCCCGCCTTCTCGTAGTCCTTGCTGGGAACAGCCACCTCTGACCTGCAGGCCTGACTGACCCGCCTTTATGGATCAACATGCTTGGATTATCTCACTGATGGGCAGACTGCTTTTTTATGAATGACATCCTCAGATGATAGGGGTTACATTAAGCCAGTTATTGTTAGTTGAAAACCAGGTCCAGCGTACTTATTTGCTCTTGTTCCTACTGACTTCTCTCTCTGCCTCTGTGTGTGCGCTTGTTGGCATGGAACAGGTTGAGAATGGGAAGGCTCAAGCAGCCAACTTCCCGTTCTGCACAATAGAGCCCAATGTGGGAGTGGTGGCTGTTCCCGATACGAGGTTGGAAGTTTTGACGAAGATTGGCAAATCCCAGCGGACAGTGCCTACAAGTGTGGAATTTGTCGACATTGCTGGACTCGTAAAGGGAGCCAGTGAGGGGGAGGTAAGCAATGGACATCTCCTCCGCTGTGTACGCTTCTGTCCTAGTCATTTGTCTTGGTTTCTCTCTTGCTGTTTCTCAGGCACATTTTGGTAGTCGTACACCTACTTCAGACTCTTAGCCATGCCTGTACGGATTGCGAAATGAAATCACTACTATTGATTTTGTTGTAATTCTGGAGAGAATGGAATTGAAGTCTCTCTTTATTATACACATGTAGTGAGGCATCATGAAATACGTCTCTTCACCGTAACTCGCTGAGATGTCCCAGCGGGATGGTCTAGACTGGAAGTAATCCCGACCTGAACAAATGAGACTGTAAGTAATCCTGACCTGAACAAATGAGACTGTAAGTGGTTGGCTATCGTCATAGGCAAGGCATAGATATAAAGCTGAAAAAATTCCTCTCCCCTGTCGTGCAGCCAATCATGCACTGATAAGAAAGACCCTGTTGAGCCCTGTAACAGAACAATGCGACTTCTCTCGTGGTGCTGTGTGTGTAATGGCAATACATGCACACAAGGTACCTGGTATAGACTTTTCACAGACCTATTGCTGATGTACAGAATGTGTCTTCTTTGTAGATATAGATGCTGCACACCCAAGGTACCTGACTTCACAGACCTATTGTAGATATAGAGAGTGTGCATTCTTTTGTAAATGTAGACGTAGTAATATAGTACACTGCACACACAAGGTACCTGGTCCAGACTTCTCAGACCTATTGCATAGACAAAATACAAACAGTACAGGCATATAGCACATTCATATTTATCACACTTGGCAGATGTTAACATTAAACAGTACATAACTGCAAGAATGCGACTTTCATAATAACAGTGTATTGTACATGCTCAAAGTAAAAATGGTAAATAAACATTAAACTTGATTAAAGTTGCTTTAACATAGTATGTGGTAGACATACACTGAATGTGAGCTATCACAGACATATAGCACATTCACATGTGCACGGTAAGTATTTGCTAACACTAAACAGTACATAACTGCAAGACTGTGACTTTTGTAATAATAGTGTATTGTACATACTGAACGGACAGATGCAGCACGCAGACATTGACAACAAGACACAATAAAATATTCTATAGATAAATAAAGTTTAATAAACATAGTATGCGCTCGACATGCACAGACTATGACCTCCATGACAGTGCATTGTAGATACTCTAAATAAATAAATAAATAAATAAATACCAACTGGCGTAGGTCAGTTGATACACCACTGAGCTGTTGAAATCCCGACCTCAGTTCGAACTCCACTCAAAGCAGACAGTTTGGAATTGCCTGGGGCCGGTCAGTTTGATGATGATATCTCAAGGCCATCGCCCTTTTATGAAAAAAGTGAGAGAAAACAAAAAAGGAAGGAAGTACAGATGCACTACGAAGTTTTTTTTTTTTTTTTTTTTTTTTTTTTAAGTCCAACAGTTCCTTGGGAAAAAAAATTCTTATGTCGGGCTGGGGACCCACAATTCTACCCGGTGTCACTCTGGCAGCATTAGCTAGTTTCGCTTATGAGTTCATCCTTGTAATCATGCTACGAAGATATTGACAAAGCGCTTTCTTTATTTTTTTTTATATAGATAAACATAGTATGCAGTAGAAATACACAATACATAGATATAAGCCATACAGAGAACTAAGATAAGGAACATAGACAAGGCATATAATAGGTAGGCATACCCAGCACAACTGTGGCAACCATATAGCATGTGGTCCTTTAATATGTGTTCCAGGTTTTTCTTCGTTCGCGAGCTTCACAATAGGGTCTGGGATGCTGCCAGTTAGAAGTAGAGGGCGTAAATAAGTAATCGAATGACAGTGTATCGTGATCTTCCATATCTGTTTGTGCCACTCAATGAATGTGTAACTCCTTGGTCCGTATCTGCATGTGTCACTGCGTGGACAACAGGGTCTGGGTAACAAGTTCCTTTCACACATTCGGGAGGTCGATTGCATCGTCCAGGTACAATCTATGATTCACAAACTTTATGCTCGATATGCCAAAGTTTTTGGTGGTTGAGGGAGGCTCTTTTCCTTCGTGTGTTTTTCCACTGCCACCTAAATTAGTACCCTAATGGTCCCAGTCCAGATCCCTTACGCCTGACATATATGTCAGATGCATGTGTGCACAGGAATGCTCTCTTTGTCTTTTTTTGGGTGCATGGACAATTTACTTAAGACGTTCAATTTGGGTGTGTTCTACGGGTGAGTTCAAGAAAAGGACCACTGTGTTCATTGGTGCACAGCAAACCAGTGACAGGACCCTGACCGGGCAGTCCTGACATGCTGACTTCCTATCAATAGAACCTGTAAGCTTACAGACAATTCAGGAGCACATTTTTTCTTCTTCTTCCTCTTTCTCCCTCCCTTTCTTCCTTGGATCCTCTTCTTTTCTCCCTCCCTCCTTTCCTGCCCTCCTCCCTTCCTCCCGTCCTCCCGTTCTCTCATCCTCCCTTCGTCCCGTCCTCCCGTCCTCCTGTCCTCCCGTCCTCCCGTCGTCCCGTCCTCCTGTTCTCCTGTCGTCCCGTCCGCCCGTCCTCCCGTCCTCCCGTCCGCCCTCCCTCCCTCCCTCCCTCCCTCCCTCTCTCCCTCTTCCCTCCCTGCCTTCCTGCATGCCTGCCTTCCTGCCCTCCCTTGTTCCCTTCCTTTCCTTGTCCTTCAGTTGTTCCTCCTTCCCCCCGCCCCCCTTTTCTGTTCCTCCTATCTTCCTTTCCCTTCTACCTTCCCTTTTCCTTCCTTGATTTCATCCTTTTCTTTCCTCTGCTCTTTCTTCCCTTTCTTTCATCAAAAGAAATATATCGTGTATATAGACTTGTAATAAATTTTGTATTAATTTTTTGTTTTTGATTCTTTTGTTTGTTTGTTGAACACTCCCTTTCCTTCTTCCGTTCCTTTCTTCCCTTCTCTTTATCCCATCCCTGCTGTGTTTCCTTTCGTTCTGTCCCTTCTTTCCTTCGTTCAGCTCCTTTCCTTCCTTTGTCCCCTTCCTTTTTGTTCCCTCTCTTTCCTTCATTTCTTTCCTTTCCATCTTTTGCCTCCTTTGCTTCCCTTCTATCCTTCCCGTCTTTTTCACCCTTCCTTTCCTTCCTTTTCTCCCCTTCCTGTTTCCTCTCTTTGCTTCCCTGCCTTCCCTTACTTTTCTTTCTACCATGTTCTTCCTTTCCTTCCCTTTTCTGTTTCTTGCCTTCCTCTGCTTCTTTTCCTTCCCTCCCTCCCTCTAGTTTTCTTTCTGTGGTTCCTCTGTCACTTCATGTTCTTCCTGTTCTTGTCTGCCTCTCCTTCGCTTCCCTGTCCCTGGCCTTCCTGTTTTCTTTCCAGTTCAATCCCTTTCTTACCTCCCATCCTTTCCTTCACTCCCTTTTCCTCGTTGTCCCTTCTTCACTCCATTCAATGGCATTCATTCCCTCCTCCTTCCTTCACTTTCCACCCTTTAGTCTTTTCTTTTCGCTGCCTTCTTTGCTGTCCTGCCCTTTTCTTCTTTCTGTTCCTCCTCCTGTCCTTTTACTTCGCTGCTGTTCTTCCTCTTAACAAATTCTTTCCTTTCCTTGCCCAAATTTACACCCTTTCCTTCTTTTGCATTTCTTTCTGTTCTTTTGTTTGTTTTTGTATTTGCCTTCCATTTGTTCCGTTCTATCCTCCACATTCTTTCCTTCCCTTGCGTGCTTTTCCTTGCCATCTGTCCGTTCTCTCCACCCCTAAGTTCTCCTCTGTGTCCTTTCTGTTCTTTCCCCCCCCACCTTTCGGTCCATGCTTTTTCGTTTTTCCTTACACCCTTTCTTGGTTTGTGTGTCATCTCTTCACACAGCTCATGCTGATCTTCTCTAAATCCTTCCGACTTTAAACCACCAGTACTTCCTAGAGTCGTGCCCGTTAACGCGCCACGGTTTTAGGAAACACACGGGCTACTACAGGAGCGCCCAAATTCATCCGACTAGAAACGTTTCTACTCTATTTTTTTCTGCGGCCGATAGCTGGGCCGAGTACTGGTGGCTTAACAGATACCTGAATGACGTTGTCCTTCCTATCCTTTCCTTCCCGTCTCTACTTTTTCATCCTTCGTTTTCTCTCTGCCTGTTCTTTACCCCCTGTCCCTTCCTTTCTTTCGTTTTGTTTACCTTACAGCTCTCTGGCCCTCTGCACAACACTCCACAGCACTTTGGGGTCGGGGTGCACACTAAGGGCTGTGCAACAGGTTATTGGGGGAAAATGTGTGATTTTTTGTCAGAACTTCTCAGAAGTTATATTCTGACCCCATTTTTGACGGGATTGGCTCCTGGCACGGTAGTGTAGGGGTTAGAAACTAGGAAGAACTCGATAAAGAGAAAAAGTTGAGAATTATGTGTCTTTCCACAGGGCCATGGGTTTTGTCCTATTTTTTCCAAGTTCTAATGGCTATTTCTCGTCTTCTTGCTGCTTATTGTCCTCCAAGCTCTCTGTATCGTGTGATCATCAGTGAGCGAAAAAATCTCACAAGTCTCACTCTTGCACTAGCCGATAGAATATGAACTTATGAAATCTATCCCTTTGACCACACACGCATTTTGTTTGGTGTTGCTTTCTTTTCCCCCTGTCCCATGGCCGAATTGCTAATTTCCCCCTGTTTCCTAAGGTTCCTTGCGACGGAATCTGGGCTGGAATGAATGGAATGCTTACCTGAGCTGACTGCCTGTGTTGCAGTGATGTAATGGATCTGTGGGCTTGTCTGAACTAACTAGGAGGTCGCAACTGCTCTTTTCTCACTTTCTTGTTGGTTTTTTAGGTTGTGAGGTGCTTTGAGGATGACGATATTGTACACGTCAATGGCAAAATTGACCCCCTGAGTGATGTGGATATCATCAACCTTGAACTTGCCCTGGCTGATCTTTCTCAGGTACGGACCTGTTTCTCTCCTCCCCTCCTCCATCTCTGGCTCTCCCTCGTGACACCATTCCCTTCTGGTCCTCCCTTGCCTGTCTTACTATATTTTCCTTTTATTTCTCACTTGTCTCCAATGCGCCCTCCCTCTTTCTCTCACCACT